CGGCACCCGTACCACAATGTCGGGAATAGAGGAGCAGCACAACTGAAGGTGCGGCTTGCTTGACCGCGACTTCACGAATAAGGGTTCCGGGCAAAATTACCGCTTTAAAAAACAGAGAAGCGCTTGTTTTACTTCTATAAAAACGATTCGATGCTGCTCCTTGATTTTAGTCTGTTAGCCTGAAACAACAAATCTGACTAGGATCCTGCATGAGTCGGATTCTTGTGTTAGTTCATTGAGACCGCTACACTTTCACGTACCTATTATTTGTAACTTTATCTCGAGTTTCCGGTTAGTCTCTACCAGTCTGTGCTCACGGTCGATGTCGTCCTCATACTGGGAGATCGTTTCTGAAGATCTGAGAAGATTTCGTCTTCGGCAGCAGCTAATCTCTCCTCGACAAACTCTTACCGATGCCGAAGACTGAATTGTTGAGCAGTAAAGAGGCAAGTCATTTCCGTTCTCCTTCTTTTTCTTCTTCTATTGTACTTCCGGTAGAATACACGCATCAACGTCGCATTGCTGCTCTCTTCAGGTCAGTTTGAAGCTAGTCCTAAACTAAATTAAATAGCTGGCTAACTAATGGTATGTCCATACATTTAAAAAAAAAAAAGAAATGTCAATATCTGTAATATCACGCTGTCAGATAGTTCATAGGAGTCATGACGTGTAATGATGGTGTTGGATTCAGGGACCATGAGAGAGAAGAGATTATCAAATATCCTAAAACAGTTCAGTGCTACAATCCATTTCAGCCTCCATAAAAAGACAACAACTAGAAGATGTCACGGTATCACCCATGATGTTTGATTAGCATCTGACCGCTGTGCTGTGCAGAGATGCCAGAACAATGATGGAAGGAAAATAAAATAAAAGTAAAACACAGATTTAAATTGATGAAAATAGGAAAGACCTCAGTTTATTTCAGTTTAACAAACTCAGCAAAGACATCAAAATTGATTGAGTTATCATAATATAGACTAATCCAGCATAGAGCGGCTGAGTGAATGTGGTCTGGACTCTGTGGAGGAGAGTCATGGTTTCAGAGACGCTGTAGAAGGACAAAATACCTGCTCTGTGGTCCAGGTACACTCCTACTCTGGAGGAATGAGGACCTGAGACAGGAGTTTGGATGTTGTTGTCCCAAAAAGTGTCACTGATTTCATCTTGTAATCGGAAGGTTGCCGGTTCGAGCCCCGGCTCCAACAGTCTCGGTCGTTGTGTCCTTGGGCAAGACACTTCACCTGTTACCTACTGGTGGTGGTCAGAGGGCTTGGTGGCGCCAGTCTCCGGCAGCCTCGCTTTTGTCAGTGCGCCCCAGGGCAGCTGTGGCTACAATGTAGCTTTTCATCACCTGTTTGTGAATGACTGAATGTAGTGTATAGCGCTTTGGGGTCCTTAGGGACTAAGTAAAGCGCTATACAAATACAGGCTATTTACCATTTAATGACTTAGCGCCCAAGATTTGTCATTGTGTCCAAACCAGCATTCATTCCCTGTTCTGCTGATATTCTTGTATGCAGCTACTCCACCTCCCAGTAACAACATCCAGTCAAATTTTCTCCACTCAGGATCTGCCAGTGTTCAGTGAATCTGTCTGGACAAGGCTTATTCATTACTATTGCTTTTCTGTGCCCTTCTGATAATAACAACTGTTTATGTGCTGTGTTTGGATCCAGTGTGATTTCACATAAATATTTTAAGAATTCAGCTCTGGTCTTTGCTTCTGGTGGATCTGACAGTAAAACATCCACTTCAGTGACTGTCAGTGAGATGTTTGTCCATTCCTCTCTCAGAATGTCCTGTAGTTTATCTCTGATTTTCTTCTTTTCCTCTTCATCCCAGAAGCTTTTAATACAGTTCATGCAGTAGCTGTGTCCACAGGGAATAGTCACCGGATCCTTCAGTAGATCCAAACAGATCTCGGTCCAGCTGAACTCCTTTCTGTGCCATTTCTCCTCTCAGTGTCAGTGACTGTGTGTTTGTTTTCCTTATAACTGAAACTAGTCTGAGCTCTGATTGAAACAACATGTGAATGGGGCCTGTCAGCCCTTACACATAACCACATTTTGGTTGCACCTATCTTCAAACTGGAGAGTTAAAAGGGAGGAAACGAAGAAATGTGTAAACAGAGGAGGTGCTGATTTAGACAGCAGCTTCACTGTAAGAAGTAAAGCAGTATGAGAGAGAGTGGCCATGTTGAACCATTTCTGGGACCTTTTTAAATGTTTTTTAAACCCTTTATAAAAGTTTTGTGCTACATTTATAAACTTGAAATGCCTTCGACCCCAGTTTCTAATAAACCCTTGTTAAAGGTGACTATTAAAGCTGAAATTGAACAGAAATGATATGAAATGAAATCTCTGAGGATTTTTTGAATAAAAATTGCATATTTAGAATGTAACTTCAAGTAAAAAGTGTATTTTAATCTTTGTCCATGTAAGTTGAAACACATAAAATCCCAGCTTATTTGGCTGCTTTGATTGGAACAAATCATGTTTCAGATTTTTACTGACAAGTCAAATCACTTTTTTTTTAATGTACCACATTTAAAAACAGGAATGTCTCCAATGTGTTGTATTTCATGTAGACTGAGGACCCCAGATGTAGAGTCTGGGATTACATGAAAATCTTTTTATTGAAGGTGACCCAAATCCATGAACAAACAGAGAAACACGAGGGAAACATTGGAATTAGGGAAACTGCAGGAAACATAATGGCCACGACGCACAGGAAACAGTCTGAGGGGAACAGGATGGTGTGACAAAGGGCTAGGGGAAGACAATCTGTTTATCCCCTAGCCTCTTTTCCTGGACCTCCATATTGTTTAAATGGAGACAAAGGTACGAAGGAGAATTGATAACGAGTTAGGAAAAGAGAAGAGTGGTGCTGAAGTCGAACGCCCTTATGTGATGTGTTGCGCCATGTTAAAACTACAAGAAGACAGACTACATAATGTGCATCTTACTTCACCACAACATGTTCAAACCCTGTTAGTTTATGTAAGTCATAACAACATGTGAAAAATATCACATCATTAAAAAGATTGAGATTTTAAAGAAGGTACATTGAAGGCCTGATTCGCTAACATCTGTAGCAGTGCAAAGTCTTCTTTTGATACTATAAAGCTGCTGGATTCATTAAAGAGGTTCTGTTTCAGTGACAACGTTTTAAACGAGTATTTTTGCAGTTACCTTGATGACATGTGTATTTGCAGGTGTTTTACTTTCAGGACAAATATATTTAAGTGGGAAATACAAATACAAATACAAACTCTATGCCATACAACTTCCAGCAAATTAAAAAAAACAGCACTAAAAAAGTCATGTCATATGTCTGTTCTGGCTGCGATAGTTGCTACTAAGAGTGTTTGTTTTATAACACACGTATATCTGTATGAACTGCTGGACTTCCAGACCAGCAGGTTTAGGGAAGTCGTTTAGGGGGTCACACTCTGACACCCCCCCTCCCCCCATACACACACACACAACGCACAGGCAAGGTACTCTTTGTGTGTATGTATACATCATATGTTAATGAACCTATGTATATTCATGTAACCTAAATAAAAGAGCAGTGTTACGGGGGAACGAACGAGAGCAACTGGGGTCAAGCGTTCGTCCAGTTCTGTCCCGTGCACGAGAAACATAAAGAACTTTGCCTACTCGTGTCTTGCTTTTTGCTGTGTAGTAGGATTGTCTTGAACGTTCCAGTGAATAGGTTTAAGCTACAAACCTATCAATAACACATATAATAACACAATAATTTAACTTGTTTTGTAAATCTGTCCCATAGCCAAATAAATTAAACATGGAACAGTGGAACTTCTTTCCTCCTTCTTTCCTCCTCCAGCCAGTGCCAGTGTTTTTCCACAGAGCCGACAGGTCCACCTCTGGGAGGAGCCACCGTGTTCCTGCTCTCACCTGTGGGTAATTAAGCTGTTGACTTTTAAGGGCAGCGCTCTCAAATTCTTTTTACCAGATTCTCAGCTAACCACAGTTAGTGCAGGCCATCAGTGTGTTTTGTAAATATCATAGTAAATTACCTTGAACCTCTCATTCATAGCTACTCACCACATTACCAGATACAAATCCTCTCCATAGAACCTGCATTCGGATGCTGGACCTCCTGACAGTCTTCATAGTCATGGTTTTTGCTCACTACACACACCTGCCTGCCTCAGCATCAGGAGTTTTGGATTCCTTATCACTCACCCAGACCACTCTCCCCTCCGTGCAACTGATCCACTTGTGGCAATTAAGCAGCTAAAAGGAACATTCAGAACCAATAACTGCCAGCATTGTCCTGGAACCATTTACTCTTATTTGTCTTTGTCTCTTATAGTCTCTCTTGTTGTTTGCATAGCTCAGGTTGCATAAGTGCTCCATAGTTTTGGCACTGTTCATGGCACAAGTTTCTACTCACTGCCCACAGTTCACAGTTGAATAGCCTTGTTGTATATACACTTGTTTTGTAAACTAACTGTCACTTAATCGTTGCCAGTGCTCCGTCTGCGTCCTGCATTTGAGCCCTCGAGTTGGCTAAGGCTGTCACATTCCTCCAAGTTTAGGATTTCTGTGACTGTAGTAAATTTCCCTCCGTCCATCGCTTATCCCACAATGTGATAGGATTCTCTTCAACCATGATTGAAATTGATGTGGAGGAGTGGCGACATGCTTTAACACGTAACACTTTAACAATGACTGACTAAACAAAACTCTCCTTCAAGAGGTCACTAAGGTGGTATCAGATCTTAACATTGTATTGCTGATTATTTTCTCGTGGGTGGTGATTGGAACAAATGAGTGATGGATAGATGTCCCCCAAAATAAGGGAAAAGTGACAATGACATTAATTTATTAATGGCTTTATAATGGATAATAATTTAATAGATGCATGGAAAACACTAAATCCAGTGCTTCAGCGGCAACACAGAGATCACACACAGCACATGGAGTGGTACAACACAACAAAGGACAAAGGAAAGCACGGCTTAAATACACAAGGGAGTGACGAGGGAATGAAAAACAGGAGGGAAACACAGCTGGGACTAATTAGACATGATCAGACATGAGGACGCAACACTAGATACACTGACATAGGACATGAGACCGTCAAAATAAAACAGGAAACATGAGACAATCACAAAGACGCAGACTAGAAGTTGAGACATAGTGACACAACTGACTAGGGAGACGAGTGACTCGACGAGGAACACGGGAAAGACAAAGTAACAGAAACCTAAATCCTAGGACGAAGAATATAACAAAAGCAGAAAACAACAAAGAGAACCAAAACCCATGAGTAAAAATAATCAAAAAATAG